GCGAGTGCGCTGTTGAACACCGACTCAGCGTCCATCCCCATGTCCACGGGGATGAACTTCGCGATAACCTGCTCCTCGACAAGCGACTTCGCCCACGAGTCAGGTGTGTCGATGATGACTGCCTTGACGCCCATTTTGGCGGCTTTGCGGTAGATGAACTTCTTCCTGGGATAGCCGGCCGAGAAGAAGACGATGGTGGCTCCGCGCAGCAGCTTGCACCTCAGCTCCTGCTCCTCGGGGCCTGCGTGCGAGAGCGCTTCGCTGGGGATCCTGCGCAGCATCTCGAAGGTCGCGTTGGGCTCGTGGGATCTGCGAGTGCTGTTGCAGTCGCCACCGTCTCCGTGGGACAGGATTTATGCCGCACTTGGAATCCGCTTCTCGGGCCACAGTCAACAGCATGCGGTGGCGAGAGCCGGGAGTGAGGATACTGCAGTCGCTGTAGTTCTACTAAAGGCTCTAAAGGTAGCAGCCGTGCTTTCCTCTGTTTCGCGGAGGTGCAACTACAAGGACCCAACACCCTGCGAAAAGATCTTCAGCACAGGAACCCTACCTGCAGCTTACGAGCACCTCAGCATCAGCCCCGAAAGTTCTGAGCCCACGGCGTAGAAAGGCCTTGAATCCCAAACTCTAGCTTTCTAGGAGCCATTAGACGACAAGTGAAGTGCCTTTGTGTATCGAATGATGCGGAACTCATCCTGTTCCAATTCTATGCGGCGCTACCCTGCGCTGCTTCCATGCTGCCGGCCTTTGCCTGGCCCTTGTCCGGCCCTGTAGCACCTGCGGGTTAGGGTTTAGGGTTTAGGGTTTTAGGGGTTTAGGGGTTTAGGGTTTAGGGGTTTAGGGGTTTAGGGGTTTAGGGTTTATAGGGTTTAGGCCTGCAGTCGATGCCAACTCGCCAGGCGCTAGCGAGCGGTGCGCTGTGCTGCGAAAATGGATTGATGGCCTGCCCATAGGCCCCTAAGTAGTTCCTTTTGGGGATTACCTTATATTATAGTATTCTAAATATAAACCATAAAAAGGAACTACTTAGGGGCCTATGGGTGGTGTGAGATTACCACTACCTCACTAGCCGCTTGCATCATTAATCGCTCGGAAACGTGTTGTAACTCGAGCTCGGCAGCCTGAAGCCGGGCACAAGTTCATAGACGATGGATTACTCTCGAGACCTCAAGGCCTATTTAGAGGTGGAATGAGTTCTGAAGCGAACAGCATAAATGAAAGTGGCTCCTGAACGTCACTGCAGGTGTTGCTGGCTAGTGCTGGTGCTGGGAAACATCTCAAGCATCCTCTGTTTTGCTGGCTCTACTCCCCACCGCACCCACAAGCGAAAGACCTAAACTCACTGACTCACTGTACTCTGCAAGGTGAACAGGTCATGCCGGCAGGACCTGCAAAGGCTCGAACGTCAACATCGTCCGTTTGGCACAGCTCCTGCTAGCCAGTCTCCATCCGGAAACTCCTCCAGGGAAGTTTGGCAAGAATGAACAGAAAAGTTGCATGAACGCATTGTTGAGTTCGGACCGCCGCTGCCCGAAGCATGCAGCTGCTAGCGGCTGGAACTGAAAGCCTCGTCGCGAAGCACACCACACGCATTAACAGTGCATCTGGTCTGATGCAACCCTAGAAGCCCAGTCATCTATTTGGTGGGCAACTGGTCCTAGACCCTATAATACAAGCCTTGCAGTACCCATAAGCCAGTAACCTACTGCAAAATGTTGCTGGGCTTCCAGTAATCTCACTCAAATTGACACCACGCATAGCATCTCTGCGTGCCAATTCCCATCCAAGCACGGATTGGAGCTGCAAAGCTTAGAACTTTGACACAGAGGCGATCCTCCGAACAGGGCTTTGGGTTTGAACATTATTTTCCAGGTTTCCCAGCATATAAGCCCTTTATAGTCACGCGTCTTCCCTGCTAGTCAGTTTTGACACTTATGTTGACTTTGTTCTGTTTGGAACAGGCATAGTCAAACAGAGTTTTGTTTTTTTGGGCTGCTGGAAGATAAGTATGAAGGCCTTGCAGCCCCTAGCCCGCGAACCAAAACCAAAACAGCCAACCCTAAACCCGAAACCCTACGGAAACATCCCCACACCTTCCACCCGGTCCTTCACTGCGCGGAGCATTTCAGACGGCCAAATCCTCTTGGTCGCCGACTTGGGCTCTCGGAGCTTAAACCTTTTACAAAAACTCTAAGTAGCAGCAGTCGTGTTCTGATGATGTTTAGTGACTGCTAGTGGGTCTACAACGAAAATGGCAATAGTATGATTGGTGGTAGCAGCAGCAGCAGCAGCAGCAGGAGGAGGAGGAGTAGTAGTAGTAGCAGCAGTAGCAGGAGCAGTGCAGTGGAAGCGCAGTGCTAGTAGCAGCAGCAGTAGTAGTTGATGTTACAGTTGCTGTTGTTTCTGTGGTAGGAGTGGTAGTGGACGTGGAAGTGCTCGTGGTAAGGGTAGGAGTAAGGGTAGGCTGAGCTACAGATGGGTTTTTGATGGGTCTTGGGTATTATACCATAACTGTTCAAACCGCTAGATTTCACAGGTACAGTTAAAAGGTTTGTTGGGATAGTGGTAGTGGTAATGGTATAGGTGGTAATACTGGTAGTCGCGGTAGTAGTAGTCGTCGTCGCAGTGGTGGTGGCAGTAGTAGCAGTGCTAAAAATGACAACAATAACTTGACAATAACAACAATGATTACATTTCTTCAAAAGTCTAGTAACATGAAGACTTGTAGATGCAAGCCAGAGCCACCTTCGAAAGGTCTTTTCGGGCCCCGTTTGGGCTGGTCCCGGGTTGGGGAGACCTGGCCTTCGTCCCATCTGAACCTTTCTCACGCCATCCCCGAATTAGGCTTGCAAGTCAGCGGCTGATGGTACATCAGGGCGTCTAATGGCGGCGCCGTGGAATCCTTCCTCAGCGTCAATCTGAGCATCAGGGTTCGGCTTTTCGGTGGATGCTAAGATTTTGTTTTACTGCCTGTGGCTGGGAGCTTGCTGCTTTCAGGGCTGCATCGAAACCTCTGGATGTGAAGGAATAGAAATTTTGAATCCGCGTGTCCGACCTCGCTGTGCCCCCACCAGATTGAACACCTTTTGCTCTAGACAGCAGACCGTGCCCCCTGAACAGAACGTCGTTTACGACCATGAGGACTAATCTTCAATTTCTGCTCGCATCCTGAACCCGATTGCCTAAACATGCTTATTAAATATTAATTTCGTAGGACCCTCAGCACCTTTCACACCCGTATGAAATCCTTGTAAACTCTTATGAAACTTGCATGGAACGCTTGGAAACTAGACCTAGAGTCATCTACAGTTCGTAGCTGACCTCAGACCTCAGTCTGCGTCCTTATTCCGCCAAGGCACAGCTGCGCCTTAACCAAAGCTCTTCGGTAAAGGCCAGCCTGACCATGCCATGGCACTGTTGTTCAGCTGCTGCTGTTGCTGCTACTGCTGTTGCTGTGTTACTGATGTCGTTGCTGTTGTTGCTGCTGCGGTTGCCGTAAGTTGCCGTCGTTGTCGTCGTCGTGGTTGTTGTTGTTGTTGGCGGCCTGGGCGTCCCTGTTTAACGTAACCTGTTGAACCTCTGCTCCAGGACAAAACCGTCTAGACTTTGAATGTCTTAGTCTTAATTGAACCCCAAACCCTGAACTCCTAAACACTGCACCTTCAATCACCCCCAATAACTCTAAGCCTAAACCCCAAACCCTGCCCTAATACCCCAAGCCTAAGCCCGTTCAACTGTTGGACGCCTCCGGCTGACTTGCGCGAAAACCTTCGATTTGATTGCCTGGGCGAAGCTTTAGGCTTCATGGTTGAGGGTACATAACCTAACTACCCCCTCATAATGAGGCCTCTATACTTTCGAGCCATTGGGATGGGGTGTAGGGGACTAGGCGTTCTTCAGTGCCGACCACGAAACCTCATCCGCTCAATGCTTGTCTACACTTGTCTGCTTGGTTTGGGAGGCCTCTGTGGCCGTGGCCTACCAAAGTGATATGATCTCAACATTTTATTTACGATGCCCACGAATATACCGCTTTACAGCGCTCTGCACTACGACTATGGATCCAGAGTTTCAGATCCCTTCTGTGTAAAACCAAAACACGAGGGTCGACGCAAAATGGGGATGATCTTCGGGGGCCTGAATCTATGGCAATAGTACATTTGCAGCAGTAGAACATATGGATTATCTGGGCAAGAACACCACAAGATACCACAAGACTCAGAAGACCAGGCGTCGAATAGGAGTTGCAGGAACCTAAACAGCGGGTTTTGAGGGGCTACAATAAGATGATGCTAGTAGTATCATGCTATTACTTATTCAGACCTCTATATGGGGGGTTTTCCGAAAATAGGGGACCCTAATATAGTACCCTAAATTGATCCTGATTATAAGGATCCACAAATATAAGGTACCCCTAAGTTAACCCTAAACCCAAAACCCTAAAACCCATTACCTTTAGGCCGAAGAGGCAGCTTGCAATCTGCTCTTTCGCTGCCGCTGCGGAGGGCCACTGAATGACCTCGCCCGGATTTTTGAATACCAGTATTTTAGGGTTTAGGGTTTAGGGGTTGAGGGACTGCTTTATCGTCTTTTGGGTAGGGGTTGCTGCTAGCCATTCGAAATTGCCTTTAAAGCCATTTCAATCCGAGCCCCTTAGCCTAAGCCCTCAAGTCTAAACTGGACGAACTCGAGGCCTCAATACTTGGAAAAGGCTGATCTTTCATCAAAAGCGCATCTTCTTTATCCTGGGCGCAATGCTAAGGCTGAAGCTGTAGGCATGCAGCCTCACTCGTAGGATGACCAGAACTTCTAACCCGACCTTTCCTCAATAAGTCAAGTAGATGCAAAAGACCCAGAAAAAAGTCTAGCCTCTCGAACTGAAATCTCACCGCTCATACTAAATTGATCGGGTTGCCACATGAAACTCGAACCAACCCTCCCACAACCCCCTACTGTAAACCTTACATTCCTCAGCTCGATGGACTCTATATCCCCTGAAGCTTGAACCCCCTGAAAGCCCATAATGTACATAGGACCTGAGCAACTAGAATAAGGCTTCGGGCGATATTCTACTATAGTTATGATGCGGACTGTCACGACTATAAGTACTCAGTTTTATCCTCCCTGGTTGGTCTGATGTCTGCCAATTGCCATCCCCTTCTCAAGCTGAAACACCGAAAAGTTTGGGTAAAGGAATCATTGTTCCGACGCCTAACTACCCTAAACCCTAAACCCGTGCGACCCTGAACCCATCAACTAAGCAAGCGTCGGTCCCGACAATCACGTCATCGTCCTTCGAGGCGATCTCTGTCGTTAAGGGGTTCGAGTCTTAAGGAGGGTTCCTTCAGACGGCGTCTGTAAGGGATACTATACAAGATACCTTTAACAAAGCCTTTAACCAGGGTTCCTTTGAATGATTCTATAAGTTCCCTAAACCCTAAACCGCAAATAAGGGTTATCATGAGGCCCGGTGGAGGCTACAAGAAAAGTTTAAGCTCAAGGCTCCGAGGGTTGAGGGGCCGAAGCACCGGAAAAAATAAAGGTCCCATGGTAGGCATTTCTGTTGTGTAGTATCCTAAACCCTACACCTTGGACCCCGACACCTGGACCCGACACCCTAAACGCTAAGACCCGAAGCCCACTCAAAGTCTGAAAGTGGCCGACTTGTCCTGCCGCCGAGATCCCAGGGCTCCAAGTGACTTCCGACAGACCCCACAGACCCCCACGCACTAGGATCTACCGCATTTGGATTTGACGGCTGGGATATTCGTATTAGTATCAGCATTAGAATTAGCATCAATATCAGTATCAGTATTAGCATTGGTACTTGTCAACCCAACTCCCACATCACGAGTCGTGGAAGCCGCAACCTGTCAACCGGTGGAAGTCCAACAGCCCCAAACCGATCAGGCTGGCACCTTGCCAGTGCGAACCGCAAAGGGGTAGGTCAGTCGAGGATCCTGACCACAGGGCGTGAATCGCAAATAAGCCTTCAAGCGCGACATGCCTGAAACTGAAGAGCCTCTAGCACTTGGCACCAACCGTTCATCCCTCTGACTGTAAAAAAAGGCCCGGAAACCCTTCTTGCTCACGCTCCAACCTCGAGACATGGAGGTTGTAGTTGCAAGTGCCAGCTTTGGGTTTTCCGTTTCCCTTGGCACTGGGCGAGTATTGGGCCAACCCACAAGAAACAGCCGCCACCCAATTAAGCTTCACATGGACCATGCCTAACTACACGGAAAGGTGTCATAACTCATCCTCAGTCTTCGACCTTGCCCCCCTGCCCAGTCCCAAGAACCTTCGGTGAATCAAAATGCCCAAAACCTCCCAAACTAAATGTACTCAGATTCGCAGGGATGCAACGAGACTCAACAGTCATGCGCGAATACCTGAGACTATCAAGCAGGAATTGGCTTTTTCATAGAATAGTGCATAGGCCATAGGGCTTGAGGTTTAGGAACACCTCGTCTCCCTGGAGCTCCAAGCAACCCGAGTCCCGACATGGTGAAGATGCCTGGTACAGCCGAAAGCCTCGCACTCTCGCTGGCTGCCAGGTGGCCTCACTCCTGAGCTATGGGGCGGGGTTGATCTAGCTTTACTGTCAACCTTGCCACCTGAATCTTCCCACATCATTTCTGAACCGTGAACCTCAACAGAGCCTCCCGTGGGGGCTAGGCACAAAACCACTTGACCTCCTATACTCATCCCAGGACTTCCCTTCCCTCCCCCCCTTCAACCCGTTGTTAAACACACATCCCTAGCTCCTGAACCCCCAGAATTCTCATCCCCGAACCCCTTGCTTTCCATGGCGCTTCGCCAGCACGCCCCACTTGTCGCCGTCAGGACCGAAGTCTCCTAGCTCATCAACACGCATTTTTGTGCTTCTGATTCGGGTAGAGCTTAAAGTTTGCCGTTTAATAATTTGTGGTTCAGGGTTTCGTGCCGGCAGCATCAGTGGAGACGAGGATCGCATCATAAAGGTTTTGCAGGTCGCGAGAAAGCTGAAAGCCCCTCCTTCGGCCATAGATATGGCTTCTGCATCGCATTGTGGGGGTGTAGGGCTCCGAATCATAATGTCGTTCAGGGTACAGAGTTGGGGGCATCAAAGGGCTCCGTCCCCCGGGCACTGTCTCCTTGAGTCCTTGCGATTCAGGTACCAACGAAAACCAGTAAGTTCCAGCTTTGACCCCAGCAGTAGGCACATCAAGTCAACGGTCACTCAGGGCTATCCAGGGCCAGAGACGAACATTTACAGCGTACACACACAGAGATTTCGTTCTTTTCTGCAGGCTGAAGGAAGGCAGAATGACTCTCCCTGAATCATCTTGCAGGGGCCTATCTTGCCGGGAAGCTATAGCCAAGAAATCTCTCTTTAAGCTTTACTTCCGCTTCAAGTCCAGTATAGTAAGTAGCCTATCTACAGTAGGTTAACTGTTACTCTGTATAGGGTTCAAGGAACAGTAATCCACCGTTTCGGGCGCTTGGCTTCTATAGGGCTCTCTCATCCAAGAGGCCCCTCAAAGTGCCGTAAGCGAAGACTGCCAGGGCCTTCCGGAGTTTGTGGAGACGCGGGGAGGGGTGCCTCAAAACCAACATCCGCACTACTGAATCCTGAATCGCAAACCCAGAAAGGCCCTACGCCTCCAGAAATGCCAGAATTCCACGCAGCAAACCATCCGTGTGGTGCACTGGGCTGAAACGAAAAGTAAATAAATATCTACATACACAGGCTTATTATATTTGCATATATTCATATGTATGTATGCGTGTCCGAGTGTAATGCATGTATACACATGTACATATACATATACATGTACAGGTACATACAGCTTATACAACATGTATATATAATACACTTACATAATATATATATATATATATATATATATGCTCGCCCCCCCCCCGAAGATCTACGTCTAGAGGTTTCCAGAGTCTGGATCTCCTGATTTCCGGCTTTCTGCAGGAC